CTATTTGGCCCTCTGCCGATGCCACGAGCCGACGAGACGAGGAGAAATTATGCATTCGAAATTCGAAAAACTTGGAAGCTGCGGAATGTTTAACCGCTAAGTCCCGTTATTATTACTCCACCTCTCTACGTGCTAAATTGCTAAATCGAATCTGGCCGACTATAGCCGACAATAGCCGACTATAGCCAAATCAAGAACGATTCTTCTTACGTAAGGGTAGATCTTATGACGGGCCAATAAGCCGAGAGAATAATAATAATAATACGGGAGAACGAGCGGTCGAGCACTTGTCGAGCATCGAGAACGTATTCGGCTGGATATTAAAGGAAGTGTAGGCGCTCGGCAGGCGAATGCAAAGGCCTTCGCCATTGGCAATGAATGACCGATTATCGATATTTTCAGGCCGGGACATGGACACGGATACGGAGGAAACGCAGACGGAACTCGACCGGGATCCCCTGGAGCTGCCCAACAAGAGGCACGAGGCCGGCGGCTTCGGGTCCTACCATCGGCGCCAGTGCGACCCAGAGGAGGACGGGCAGGAGCAGGTCGATCCCCAGAGGCACGGCCATCTGATCAAGGATTGCGAGACGGCGAGCGCCAAGGCTGCCAAGAAAGCCCTTAAGAAGGCCAAGAAGAAGGCGCTGAGGAAGATGTACGGGGCGACATCGCCGGCGAGGTCCCCCTGCAACGGTTCGCCCAGGTAACGTTCCTCCACCCATCACCATTTTTAACCACGGCCTTGAATCGTGAAATCCTAAGCCGAGACCAAGCCGTCGATACTGATTTGCGTGATTTGCGAGATTTGCCGCCTGATTTATCGCGAGACGGATAGCCGCGAGGATATGCCCAAGGATATGCCCAAGGATATAATCAATAATAGGCCTATGATGTCGGAACGATTTTATTTTCTGGCTTTATTATATTATTAGCCGTTATTTATTAAGGCATCGCAAGAAGGTATCGCGAGTCCATCGACTTGACGCATTAAACGAGCTAATTCGCTTCAGGTACAACTCCAACTTCGACAAGATGCTCTATCACCGTCGCAAGCACAAAGTTAAACACAAGAAGAAGCACAAGGAGGAGCGCAAGCACAAGAGCCAGGCCCAGAGCGTGGAGCAGCCGGACTGCTCGACCGCGGACTCTGGTCAGGTCGCCGTGGAGGCGGGTCGAGAGCTGGACGACAGCTCCGCGTACACGGCTATAAAGGAGCAGTGCCTCAAGCAGAAGCTCTCCATATCCCTAAAGAGACTGAATACTAACGCTTACACGGCGCGCTGTGACCTTCACCATCAACAGCAGCAGGAACAGCAGCAGCAGCAGCAGCAGCAGCAGCAGCAGCAGCAACAGCAGCAACAACAACAACAACAACAACAACAACAACAACAGCGACGACAGCAGCAGCTACGACATCGACAGCAGGGCTACCCGGTGAGCAATGCCTCCTCGGGCTGCAAGAGCTGTGGTGCGACGAGCGACGAAGAGGACGAAGAGTGCGAGCACGAGACCGGGGTAGAAGTCGCCGTCGAGATCGCTCCGGATTTTCCGCCCCCGGAGCATCCGCTCGTCATGAGGTTGTCGGCGGCCGCGACGACCGTCGGCCACTGTCTCACCTCCAACGGCCGCAGGATGGACGTTGGCGACGTCGTCTGGGGCAAGGTCCACGGCTTCCCCTGGTGGCCAGGCAAGGTAAGCCCCCGTGACGTCTCCTCTCACCCGCCAAACATCCATCATTCGACATATCATGTCCGCGTTAGTGCGATATCGCGGTCGAGCAGTAAAGTCGCTCGACCTGCCAATCAATAACGTCAATCGCAATTTCAGGTATTAAGCATAACAAATTCCACTAAGGAAGACGGCACGCAGTCGGGGCCCCAGGCACACGTCGCCTGGTACGGCTCCTCGACCAGCTCACTCATGTCCTGCGATCAACTGAGTCCATTCCTCGAAACATTCAAGGTAAAGTAACGCGGCATTTCCGGTATTCTCGGCATTGCTGATTCGAGAGACGTTCGCTGACACAGTGGCGGCTCATTCAAACGAGTCATGTCGTGCCGGGAGGGGAGATTATGGGAATTGGCGCGAGAGTATATGTGGTGATAAACCGGGAATTTAGCAATTTGACGATGTTGTTGCAATAAAGTGCCTGTATTTTCAGACGCGTTACAACAAGAAGAAAAAGGGCCCGTACAAGGAGGCGATCCGCCAAGCGCAGAGCGAAGCACGCAGTCAGGTCGCCCCCAATTCGACGGGCAACGTCCTCGACGTCTGCGGCTCGCCTCGTGAAGTCAACGTTCTCTCTTAAGCGGACAAGCGGAGGAGCGAGAAGAATAAGAATAAGGACAAAGTCGCATCGTATCGATGCCGCGAGCGGTAGTAAAGACATTTCGGAATTGCGTAATAATGTTAATGCATAGAGGTACTTGCAACGTGTATATATCGGCGAGATTATGTTACAGTTTGCGCTACAAAATCGGGCCTCTCTCGGTGCATAGGATGTGCGTGTGCGTGGGTGCGTGCGCGCGCGCGCGCGAGATGAATACTCGATTGGGCCTGTGAAAGACTTTTAAATTGGCAGTTTGTCGCTTAGGGGCGGACCCAACACGAGAGTCGTGGCTTGGCGTGGCGTGGCGTGGCATGGCGAGGCGAAGCGAGGACGTCGTAGGAAGCGATTGGAAAGCAAAAGTAGAAGTACGTGAAAATGTAACTTTAGAACCTGGGAACGCGTGCGTATGGTTTTCGAACGAAGCCACTTTCCACGCCGCTTTCGAGACGTTTAGGCGTGCGGCGAGCAGCCACGAGAAAGTCTTTCCGGACACAGTCGAACGTTCGCGAAACGAGCGGCAACCTCGCTAAATTTGATACGCCTTTGGCCAAATATTGAATAGTCTCGTGTACTCTCATCACCCCCCCCCCCCTCCCCTCCCCCTCCCATCCAATCCCCTCCTCACCACTCCCAATTGGAAAGTGGCGAGGCATCGGAAACACACGCGGCGTCCCTGTTGATGCGCAACAAGGCAAACTTGCTAGATCTCGCATTAAGTGCGCGAGACAGACCCACCAGGAATAGGAATATGATAATTGGCCATTGGGGCGAGGCGCTAAGGAAAGCACGCGGATGGCAGATGACACCGAGTGGGAAGGTTCTCTCACTGTACATTATCATTTTTAAAATTCATTTCCCATGCGCGGCTGTTCCTTTTATAAAGGTATAAATTTATCACAGCTTTGTGAATCTTGAATTTTTCGTTCCGATTACTCTGGAAGTATTCTCCACGGGATTTATTAATTAGCTAGTATTGGCTCATTGTAATAGCTACGGCATCTAGTCCTTTCTTATTAAAATAAGGCTTTTGCTTTCGTCCAGTTTGCCGCTTGACCGTAACAGATGTCTACTTATATTTGTAAAGCAAGTTGGTGTTGTATTAACTCTTCGGCTTCGACGTTCAAAGCGAAAGGACAGAGTAAGGCAAAAGTGTCGTGTGCGTGTCGTTAATGATTGACGGCGGAGCCACTGAGGTTATCGAGGTGGTCAGTGTTTAACGTTTAACGCAAGAATTATTTACGCTCCGCGTCCAAAGAGACTGTCATAGATGGATTTGTAAATTGGATGGTTGATCTGGCGCTTGAAATCTTGCTTAAGCTTCTTATCGATAGCAAAGGAGTCCAATGACCGAGTCAAATGCTCCAGATAGATCCCCGTGTCCTTTTAGGCTACGAAAAGATTTCTCCTACATTATAGGCCATAGATGCTTCGAATAATATATCGGAATTCTTTAATAATGATAATTATTATTACGATTTCCCTGTAATTTCACAATGGAGGTGGAACAGTTGATCGCTACATCATTCGCGTTCGCCGATGAAAATGCCAATAATGCAAAGATAATGGATTAAACGAAGAGAGGCAGACCGGGCCATCTTTAGCTGGATAGTCGACTGGAATTTTGCATACGATTTATTATTTGGGTGTGCTGCCGTTCGATAATCAGATCACACACACACACACACACACACACACACACACACACACACACACACCCAAGCAACAACAACAACAACAACCACCACCAACACCACCACCAGTCAATAAATTCTCCTTCGTCAAACTCTTTCGACCGCTATTCTCCCAAGAATCGAACGATTGGATTGTCTGCCGTTGGTGCAGTTTTAACTGATCCATTCGTACTTTAAATAATGATTGATAGTGCCTTTGGAGATTGAAGCGCGCAAGGGGCGTTAATTGCAGGATAAATAATAGATACGCCGTTATTGATTAGGCCATTGAATAATAGTTGGAGATTTAAACGATTCGTAAGTCTCAGGCCGACTTCGTTCCGCTGGTGGAATTGCGACGAATGGTGTTGTTTACGGGTTCGTTGTATAGTTTTAAAGGACGAGAAATCTAATCCCGAACACTCGGTAGTGAAATAGATTCTCTCGATGACGCAAAAGACGCCAGCCACTGCAAAATTCCTAGCCACGCTCTCAACGAATACGATAATTTCCAAGTGACGGGCATACATACCAACCCACCCGTACCCGCACACGTATGCAACTACAATCACAATCACAATCACAATCACGAGCACAAGCACGAGAACAAGAACAAGCACAAGAACAAGCACAAGCGCACGAGTTGTCGAGGCGTTAATTTTTGGCATAGTTTTGGTAATCGTAGAGTTGGACATGAGCATCTCTACCGAAAGCAGCTATATGAGTAGATGAAACGTGAGAATGGGATTGTGGGAAGGAGGTGTTCTATATTCATCAAGAAAATGTTTGATGTCCTACGACGAGCAGCGACGTCCGTTAGAAGTGTTGGTCTTTGAACCGTTGCTTCCCACTCACCGATCAGTTCCAAAGGCAATAATTACGAAAAAGAAGAAATAGTGAAAGCGCAGAGAGGCTGGGACGGGCATCTTTGTGCTTCGTCACTCGGTCGTTGATGATGAACAATCGTACAATAATTTCAATAATGGATCTTCAAGACCAACTACCGATAATCTATTCGCTTACATTGGCCGACATGATAAATTGCGGCCGGTGCGCTACGACAGTACAAAACTGTTCATCCAACGGTGATAGAACGCCAACCGACAGGACGTTGGCGCCCATAATTCACGATAAAAATGTTTAATCTCAGGCAAGTGACAAAGATTTAGACTTTGGATAAAGGGGACAATAATTGAATGAACTCACGACGGCATTGGTAATCGCGCGAATTAGTCTATCAATTGCGGCCGTTCAAGCGTTTTAAATTATCTTTTAAAGTTCGATGAACACGATGGCATTGCTCCGGCTATTATCGCTTGCTATTACTCGTTATTACCATAACGAGTGTATATTTATATAATGATTTATAAAAATAACTGCATTTCCGATAGGCTGAAGCTTTGAAACGCCACAAGCATGGGGTAAATGATGGGGTATTGGTGATATTGGTACAGGTTGTCGCATGTCAACAGGGACAGACAGACAGACGCATGAAATAACAATGAATGTCGAGTCCTCGGTACTTTTGGTATTACAAGTACATGGTTCTTAAATGCCTCGGTACAATGGTTGTGGACCAGATTCTATATTGTTGTTGGTACAAGTATCCTTATTATCTATACGTCGTAAAGATAAATCTTAGTATCCTAAGTCGCGCACTTTAGAACCGAATAAATAATGCTCGCAATTACGGCTAGACACCTCTTTATATTTATATAACTTAATGACAAATACTACTTAAACAAATGAACAAAGCAAGCAGCATAAGCAAAGTTAGCAAAATAATTTCGAATCGAGATGAGATCGTAATGAGCGACAGACAGGTAAATGTTGTCTATTGGATTTTGATTTAATATAATCTTGAAGAAATAACGACTGTATTCGAAAAATAATTAGAATAATATTGAAAAATTGTGTTTTTGTTTTCGATGACATAATAAAATGTACGATTTGTTGATATTGATTAAAGATCATAGAATTCGAAAGTGATATTTCGTTATTGATTGATTTGATTCATTTATAGTATGTGATAGGAAAGTATACTAAATAAATATAAAGTAAAGATAAAACAAAAAGCAAAAAGCAAAAATTAAACGGAATGTGCAAAGGATGTAAAATACATTTTTTGTTTAATATTAGTGTAATAGAAGAAGAAGAAGAAGAAGAAGAAGAAGAAGAATAACGTGATAAGTAAAAACAATTGATAAGGAAAGGTAGAATGGATTTGTAGTTGAATTTTGGTAATTTATGTATAAATAACAATCGTTTCAACGAGTTATAAATACACTGCCCATAAAGACTTTCTATACACTTTTACAACTATTCAAACAAAATATTTAAATTTATCGATAATGAATAAAACTGCAAAGTATTTCTCTCTCTCTCTCTCTCTCTCTCTCTCTCTCTCTCTCTCTATAGTTTATTTCAAATATATTTTTTTTTTTTTTTCAAAATAAAATTACTCGATATTTAAAACTATTTTTGTAATTTCAACATGAAGATATTGAGAAATAAATTCAGTCGTAATTTTAATAATATCTGGTCTTTTGAATTCATATCATGGCTGCGGCTTTAATTGTTATTTACTCTTAAATATATCGGTCGAATCGGACGTACAATAGCATGAAAACAAAAAAAAAAATAAATAAAATGAACTTCCTTGAATTCGTGACGTTACACCTTACGAGTCTCGTTTTTATCATCAGTTGGTACAACCATATATTTTCGGCATTAAGGAAAGAAAATGAGAGCGAGAGTAAGATAAACTCGCGGTACATGTTTTTCGCCTCGTAAGCCTTTATATATATATATATATTTTTTTTTCTCATCACATATGAATTATCGACAAATAAAATGAACAGCACTATACGTGTGAAGTGTTTTGATTTTTCGATGTACGATACGAACGAGATGAAAGAGATGCTTAGACAAAAAGGCACTTATAGTGATGATCGACATTAAAGGATAATTAAGAATGTAAGAAAGATAACAATATAATTATACGTATGTTAGAGAGGAATTTATATAATGAAACGTCATTTGAATTTAAAAAAAAAAAAGAAAAAAGAAAAACAAAGGATTCAATAATTGCTTATTGAGAGTAAATGCCGTTATTGCATAGTTCGAATTATTTATTTATTTCCTGATAATTTCTGCGAATGACAATGGATTCGAGACCCATTGAAAGAGAGTTCGGCGGGCCCAAAGTCAGTCGAACGAGCGGAGAGAAATTATAACGAGGCAGATGAAATACTTTCATCTCCGATGAAAATATAATTGGCCAATCGAAATTTCAATTACATAAAATGTGTACATTCAGCAAGGATTGCCGAATCGACGGCCGATAGCTCAAACCCTTACTTTCGATACAATCGCCAAATATCCGAAATCACAACATTACGCATTAAATGCAAAGAGGCCAACTTTATAGGACCTCTTTGTGAAATTTGCCCTTAAGCAGCAAAGAAAATCAATCGACTGTCGTTATGTTGAAAAAAAAAT